ATGACTCTATACTGTAAGCCTTCACGTAATGACTATACTGTAAGTCTTCACATAATGACTCTATACTGTAAGCCTTCACGTATACGTAATGACTCTATACTGTAAGCCTTCACGTAATGACTCTATACTGTACGCCTTCACGTAATGACTCTATACTGTAAGCCTTCACATAATGACTCTATACTGTAAGCCTTCACGTAATGACTATATACTGTTAGCCTTCACGTAATGACTCTATACTGTAAGCCTTCACGTAATGACTGTATACTGTAAGCCTTCACGTAATGACTCTATAATGTAAGCCTTCACGTAATGACTCTATACTGTAAGCCTTCACGTAATGACTCTATACTGTAAGCCTTCACGTAATATCTGTACACTGTAAGCCTTCACGTAATGACTCTATACTGTAAGCCTTCACGTAATAACTATATACTGTAAGCCTTCACGTAATGACTATATACTGTAAGCCTTCACGTAATGACTATATACTGTAAGCCTTCACGTAATGACTATACTGTAAGCCTTCACGTAATGACTCTATACTGTAGGCCTTCACATAATGACTATATACTGTAAGCCTTCACGTAATGACTATATACTGTAAGCCTTCACGTAATGACTATACTGTAAGCCTTCACATAATGACTCTATACTGTAAGCCTTCACGTAATGACTATACTGTAAGCCTTCACGTAATGACTATACTGTAAGCCTTCGCGTAATGACTGTATACTTTAAGCCTTCACGTAATGACTGTATACTGTAAGCCTTCACGTAATGACTCTATACTGTAAGCCTTCACGTAATGACTATATACTGTAAGCCTTCACGTAATGACTATACTGTAAGCCTTCACGCAATGACTCTATACTGTAAGCCTTCACATAATGACTCTATAATGTAATCCTTCACGCAATGACTCTATACTGTAAGCCTTCACTACCACTTGACCACGGAGGCGGTGTGGTAAACCTTGAAGTCATGGTAGAATATGACAGAAAACAAACATCTGGTGGCTCATGGTAGAATATGATAGAAAACGAACATCTTGTGGCTCATGGTAGAATATGATAGAAAACGAACATCTGGTGGCTCATGGTAGAATATGATAGAAAAAAAACATCTGGTGGCTCATGGTAGAATATGATAGAAAACGAACATCTGGTGGCTCAAGGTAGAATATGATAGAAAACAAACATCTGGTGGCTCATGGTAGAATATGATAGAAAACGAACATCTGGTGGCTCAAGGTAGAATATGATAGAAAACGAACATCTGGTGGTTCATGGTAGAATATGATAGAAAACGAACATCTGGTGGCTCATGGTAGAATATGATAGAAAACGAACATCTGGTGGTTCATGGTAGAATATGATAGAAAACGAACATCTGGTGGCTCATGGTAGAATATGATAGAAAACGAACATCTGGTGGCTCAAGGTAGAATATGATAGAAAGCAAACATCTGGTGGCTCATGGTAGAATATGATAGAAAACGAACATCTGGTGGCTCATGGTAGAATATGATAGAAAACGAACATCTGGTGGCTCATGGTAGAATATGATAGACAACGAACATCTGGTGGCTCATGGTAGAATATGATGAAACATGAAGACATGGTAGAATGTGGAGACACGGTTTGTTTGTTGTTTAACGATGCACTAAGCAATAGTCCAGCTATATGAGGCGGCCTGTGAATAATCGATCCAGTGATCAATATTCTTAGCAAGGATCCACGCCGTCGGGGTACGATGACACACAATCAACCAAGTCACCAAGCCTGAGCACCCGATTCATTTAATCACCTCTTACAACCAGCATAGGCTGCTAGGGGCCTTTTTTACGTGGACTCCCTACGTAGGTGAACATGGTGGTACTGCATATGAAGACAGGTTCTTCATTACTGATCAAAAACCTCTTTTTGGCATATTGATCAGGACATGAACAGTTCATATTCCTTGTTCATATAATGCATTTACTTTTGTAATGGCAGTTCTATGAATTTGTTTAATTGTTTCCCGGTATAAATTATTGAAGTGAGTGAGTGAGTGAGTGAGTTCGGTTTTACGCCGCTTTTAACATTATTCCAGGTTTATTCCAGGTGTCAGTTTAATGCGGGAGGAAAGCCCGAAGTGATGCATGTCTCAGACGTTTACCACTTAGGTGAAACCCACGAGCACGGGGATGGTGCTGGCAAACCTAGAAACATAAATAAATTGTTGAAACACATAACCAATTGTAATTAGTTAAATGAGCAGGCTTATCATTTGTTGTTATATACTTTTGTCCATATAGGCATACTCAAGAAATAGTTCATCATTTTCGTTTCAGCACTAATGGTATTTCTTCTTTGCCCTTACTTTATCGTATATCAAGTAAAAAGCGACAAAACCATTTCTGTATTCATCGGAAATCTCTGCCAGAGGAGAGTCGATTGTACGATTACGACTACATCATGAGCATTTGTTAATGAATCACTTTCAAATAGTGATGATATCAGGTGTTTGCGACAAGGTGAGCGTATCCTGCACACCTGAGGCACATAAGCATGCCATGTTCTCGAGCTTCGTATTGAACCTCGTTTAGGAACATAGGGTGTCCATTACAGCGAGGTGTCTCACTTTTGTCATGTGATCCGCCCCTTTGTCAAATCACCTATTTAGGAAAGTACTTGTGTTGGTCAGGACATTGCTTTTAAAAGTGTTAATATTGTATAGAATTGCATGGAGCAAAGGGAGACAACTGCACGATGATCATGGGCGATGATATAAATGTTGTGTCTGGTTTAATATGATCACAACACTAACCCTGGTGTTATTGATGTGGGCACAAGGGATAATGGACATTGACACCTAGAGTTTAAAGGGAGAAGATAATAAGGGCATTGTCTGGTGATCTCATGAACAGCAGGACGAGTAAGACATGCACTTAAGGCGATCAACGGCCATGTAGATTGCAGGGATACTGAAAAGGGGAACTAAAAGCCCAAAGAGAGAGACAAGCACGCTAAGCGGGTGCTATACAACGATCACATATACGGAAATATAGGCCACATCTGTGTGGGTAGATCTATGTGTGACATTTCAGTGTATACGTGCTCTGAACAGTGTTAGCAAAAACAGGGACAAACATGGCCAATATATTGAATAGGTGTGCAACAGTGGAGTTTATATTGTAGATAAAACCTGTGACTGGCTCGCTGACATTTGGCCGTACGAGAACGCTAACTTCACACCACGCGATCCTCAACAAAAACAACCCTGGGTCTATTCAGTCCTTGTTTCATACGTCTAAGGTGATATTTCCAACTTGTATGGAAAATGATGTCCTTGTATAGACATTTACAATAGAGCAATTGATATACTTACAAAGGCCCTCTGTAGTAGCTAGCCGTCTATCTATATAGGTATTTTATTCAGTCAACAGAATGGATTCGTTTTCCAAAGGGGCTGTGCATCACTCGACGGGAGCACATTGTGGAAGCCACGTGGGTCGAGCTGCAATGACACGCTGCAAGTCCGCACGGCAGACGCGGCTATTGTGAGTCTTCATACTACCGAGCTTTAAATAAAACACGTTTAAAACGACTCGTGGAGGAGGAGAGGCGGGATGGACATGATTCGGTGGAGATGGGTACACCGACAGCTCGCGGGCCGGGATGCAGGTGTAGTAGATGGTGGAGGGCAGCTTTTGGGGTTGTGCATGTATTGGGGTAGGATGTGCGAGTAGGGTTCTGTGGGCGTAGTATGTGAGTGTATGGAGATAGAGATGGAGGGACATGGTATTTGATTTATCTGGGTATTGGTACAGGTACATGTTTGCTGAGTGTGTGGAAGCAGAGGTACTTGGTTACTGAATGTGTGCAGGTAGAGGTAGATCGTTACTGGGTGTGTGGAGATAGAGGTACATGGTTACTAGGTGTGTGGAGATAGAGGTACATGGTTACTGGGTATGTGGAGGTAGAGGTACATGGTTACTGGGTGTGTGGAGGTAGAGGTACATGGTTACTGGGTGTGTGGAGGTAGAGGTACATGGTTACTGGGTGTGTGGAGGTAGAGGTACATGGTTACTGAGTGTGTGGAGGTAAAGGTACATGGTTACTGGGTGTGTGGAAGTAGAGGTACATGGTTACTAGGTGTGTGGAGGTACATGGTTACTGGGTGTGTGGAAGTAGAGGTACATGGTTACTGGGTGTGTGGAGGTAGAGGAACATGGTTACTGGGTGTGTGGAGGTACATGGTTACTGTGTGTGTGGAGGTACATGGTTACTGGGTGTGTGGAAGTAGAGGTACATGGTTACTGGGTGTGTGGGGGTACATGGTTACTGAGTGTGTGGAGGTAGAGGTACATGGTTACTGGGTGTGTGGAGGTACATGGTTACTTGGTGTGTGGAGGTAGAGGTACATGGTTACTTAGTGTGTGGAGGTAGTGGTACATGGTTACTTAGTATGTGGAGGTAGAGGTACATGGTTACTGAGTGTGTGGAAGAAGAGGTACATGGTTACTGGGTGTGAGGAGGTAGAGGTACATGATAACTGGGTGTGTGGAGGTAGAGGTACATGGTTACTTGGTGTGTGGAGGTAGAGGTACATGGTTAATTGGTATGTAGAGGTAGAGGTACATGGTTACTTGTTATGTGGAGGTAGAGGTTCATGCTTACTGGGTGTGTGGAAGTAGAGGTACATAATTTATTGGGTGTGTGGAGGTACATGGTGACTGGGTGTGTGGAGGTAGAGGTACATGATTACTGAGTGTGTTGAAGTAGAGGTAAATTGTTACTGGGTGTGTGGAGGTACATGGTTACTGGGTGTGTGGAGGTAGAGGTACATGGTTACTGGGTGTGTGGAAGTAGAGGTACATGGTTACTGGGTGTGTGGGGGTACATGGTTACTGAGTGTGTGGAGGTAGAGGTACATGGTTACTGGATGTGTGGAGGTACATGGTTACTTGGTGTGTGGAGGTAGAGGTACATGGTTACTTAGTGTGTGGAGGTAGTGGTACATGGTTACTGGGTGTGTGGAGGTAGAGGTACATGATTACTGAGTGTGTGGAAGAAGAGGTACATGGTTACTGGGTGTGAGGAGGTAGAGGTACATGATAACTGGGTGTGTGGAGGTAGAGGTACATGGTTACTTGGTGTGTGGAGGTAGAGGTACATGGTTACTTGGTATGTGGAGGTAGAGGTTCATGCTTACTGGGTGTGTGGAAGTAGAGGTACATGATTACTGGGTGTGTGGAGGTACATGGTGACTGGGTGTGTGGAGGTAGAGGTACATGATTACTGAGTGTGTTGAAGTAGAGGTAAATGGTTACTGGGTGTGTGGAGGTACATGGTTACTGGGTGTGTGGAGGTAGAGGTACATGGGTACTGGGTATGTGGAGGTAGAGGTACATGGTTACTGGGTGTGTGGAGGTAGAGGTACATGGTTACTGGGTGTGTGGAGGTAGAGGTACATTGATACTTGATGTGTGGAGGTACAGGTACATGGTTACTGGATGTGTTGAGGTAGAGATACATGGTTACTGGATGTGTGGAGGTAGAGATACATTGATACTTGATGTGTGGAGGTACAGGTACATGGTTACTGGATGTGTGGAGGTAGAGATACATTGATACTTGATGTGTGGAGGTACAGGTACATGGTTACTGGGTGTGTGGAGGTAGAGATACACGGTTACTGCATGTGTGGAGGTAGAGATACATTGATACTTGATGTGTGGAGGTACAGGTACATGGTTACTGGGTGTGTGGAGGTAGAGGTACATGGTTACTGGGTGTGTGGAGGTACATGGTTACTGGATATGTGGAGGTATATGGTTACTGGATGTGTGGAGGTACATGGTTACTGGATGTGTGGAGGTACATGGTTACTGGATGTGTGGAGGTACATGGTTACTGGATGTGTGGAGGTAGAGATACATTGATACTTGATGTGTGGAGGTACAGGTACATGGTTACTGGATGTGTGGAGGTAGAGATACATTGATACTTGATGTGTGGAGGTACAGGTACATGGTTACTGGGTGTGTGGAGGTAGAGGTACATGGTTACTGGGTGTGTGGAGGTACATGGTTACTGGATATGTGGAGGTATATGGTTACTGGATGTGTGGAGGTACATGGTTACTGGATGTGTGGAGGTACATGGTTACTGGATGTGTGGAGGTACATGGTTACTGGATGTGTGGAGGTAGAGGTACATGGTTACTGGATGTGTGGAGGTAGAGGTACATGGTTACTGGATGTGTGGAGATACATGGTTACTGGATGTGTGGAGGTACATGGTTACTGGATGTGTGGAGGTACATGGTTACTGGATGTGTGGAGGTACATGGTTACTGGATGTGTGGAGGTACATGGTTACTGGATGTGTGGAGGTACATGGTTACTGGATGTGTGGAGGTACATGGTTACTGGATGTGTGGAGGTACATGGTTACTGGATGTGTGGAGGTAGAGGTACGTGGTTACTGGGTGTGTGGAGGTAGAGATACATGGTTACTGGATGTGTGGAGGTACATGGTTACTGGATGTGTGGAGGTACATGGTTACTGGATGTGTGGAGGTAGAGGTACGTGGTTACTGGGTGTGTGGAGGTAGAGATACATGGTTACTGGATGTGTGGAGATAGAGGTACATGGTTACTGGATGTGTGGAGATACATGGTTACTGGATGTGTGGAGGTAGAGGTACGTGGTTACTGGGTGTGTGGAGGTAGAGATACATGGTTACTGGATGTGTGGAGGTACATGGTTACTGGATGTGTGGAGGTACATGGTTACTGGATGTGTGGAGGTAGAGGTACGTGGTTACTGGGTGTGTGGAGGTAGAGATACATGGTTACTGGATGTGTGGAGATAGAGGTACATGGTTACTGGATGTGTGGAGATACATGGTTACTGGATGTGTGGAGGTAGAGGTACATGGTTACTGGATGTGTGGAGGTACATTGTTATTGGATGTGTGGAGGTAGAGGTACATGGTTACTGGATGTGTGGAGGTAGAGGTACGTGGTTACTGGGTGTGTGGAGGTAGAGATACATGGTTACTGGATGTGTGGAGATAGAGGTACATGGTTTGTGGGTGTGTGGAAGTAGAGGTACATGGTTTCTGTGTGTGTGGAGATAGAGGTACATGGTAACTGGGTGTGTTGAGGTACATGGTTGCTGAGTGTGTGGAGGTTGTGATAAAGGTGATTACTGGGTGTCTGGAGCTCTTTAGGCGACAATATCGAGAGAAAACTTCCAGAGGGCAGTTTTATGGATGAGGTTTAGATGCAAAGTTGATCGATGAGTGTACGAAAATCGTTTTTGTTTTCTATCGTAAATATATGATGCAGTTTTCAGGACTGAGTGTAATGAACGCATATAGATTTCAAGCAAAGCGTTGAACATTTGCTGTGTACGATCACCCAGTAACAATTTACACTGAATAGCTGAGTATAAGAGAAAAGGATTTAAATTTACACGTATCCGCGGAAGAAGCCAAACTTAGAACTATGTCGTCAAATAAATGAATATGGTTTTACGCCGTGATGACAATATTCCAGCCACATCACATAGAGGAACACTAAGAATGGGCTTCACACATTGTGCGCATGTGGGGAATCGAACCCTAGAATTGCCTCCATTGCTTACTGGGTGTGTGGAGGCATTGTTACGTCATTGAAAACGTGGTGGTAATGATGTCATAAATACACTGGCTGCCGAGATGCAAGTTATTTCTATATCATATACGTTATACGTGTCAGGAATTGACTCGCGTGTCGTAAACAGGGTATGACTATGACACATTAATGTTCATCCCTGTGCTATACTTAATCTGAGTGATATTCACTACCCGGTTGGGGAGATATGGCCGTCAAGGTCAAGGTCAGTCAGGAGGGAGATGGAAATGAGGACCGAGTGAGTCGTAAAAGACACACATTCGTATAGGTGCTCACGTAGTACTCAGTAGTGACAGGGCTTTATTGAAATAATCTATTGTCTCTGATTGGATAGTTACCTACATGCCGTAGTTTTGGGATACTTAAACAAGATGTTGTGACAGTTTGAGAGCTTACTCTATTTCATAGAAGCGGGATAGTTAACTACATGTTGTAGTTTGGGATATGTTATAGTGGTCGGATAGTTAACTACGTGTTGTAGTTTAGGATATGTTATAGTAGTCGGATAGTTAACTACGTGTTGTAGTTTGGGATATGTTATAGTAATTAGATAGTCAACTACATGTTGTAGTTTAGGATATGTTATAGTAGTCGGATAGTTAACTACGTGTTGTAGTTTGGGATATGTCATAGTAGTTAGATAGTCAACTACATGTTGTAATTTAGGATATGTTATAGTAGTCGGATAGTTAACTACGTGTTGTAGTTTGGGATATGTTATAGTAGTTAGATAGTCAACTACATGTTGTAGTTTGGGATGTGTTATAGTTGTCGGATAGTTAACTACGTGTTGTAGTTTTGGATATGTTATAGTAGTCAGATAGTTAACTATGTGTTGTAGTTTTGGATATGTTATAGTAGTCGGATAGTTAACTACGTGTTGTAGTTTGGGATATGTTATAGTAGTTAGATAGTCAACTACATGTTGTAGTTTGGGATGTGTTATAGTTGTCGGATAGTTAACTACGTGTTGTAGTTTTGGATATGTTATAGTAGTCAGATAGTTAACTATGTGTTGTAGTTTTGGATATGTTATAGTAGTCGGATAGTTAACTACGTGTTGTAGTTTGGGATATGTTATAGTAGTTAGATAGTCAACTACATGTTGTAGTTTGGGATGTGTTATAGTTGTCGGATAGTTAACTACGTGTTGTAGTTTGGGATATGTTATAGTAGTCGGATAGTTAACTACGTGATGTAGTTTGGGATATGTTATAGTAGTCGGATAGTTAACTACGTGTTGTAGTTTGGGATATGTTATAGTTGTCGGATAGTTAACTACGTGTTGTAGTTTGGGATATGTTATAGTAGTCAGATAGTTAACTATGTGTTGTAGTTTGGGATATGTTATAGTAGTCGGATAGTTAACTACGTGTTGTAGTTTGGGATATGTTATAGTTGTCGGATAGTTAACTACGTGTTGTAGTTTGGGATATGTTATAGTTGTCGGATAGTTAACTACGTGTTGTAGTTTGGGATATGTTATAGTTGTCGGATAGTTAACTACGTGTTGTAGTTTGGGATATGTTATAGTTGTCGGATAGTTAACTACGTGTTGTAGTTTGGGATATGTTATAGTTGTCGGATAGTTAACTACGTGTTGTAGTTTGGGATATGTTATAGTTGTCGGATAGTTAACTACGTGTTGTAGTTTGGGATATGTTATAGTAGTCGGATAGTTAACTTCGTGTTGTAGTTTAGGATATGTTATAGTAGTCGCATTGTTAACTATGTGTTTTAGTTTGGGATATGTTATAGTAGTTAGATAGTCAACTACATGTTGTAGTTTGGGATATGTTATAGTAGTCGGATAGTTAACTACGTGTTGTAGTTTGGGATATGTTATGGTAGTCGGATAGTTAACTACGTGTTGTAGTTTGGGATATGTTATAGTAGTCGGATAGTTAACTACGTGTTGTAGTTTAGGATATGTTATAGTAGTTAGATAGTCAACTACATGTTGTAGTTTGGGATGTGTTATAGTTGTCGGATAGTTAACTACATGTTGTAGTTTGGGATATGTTATAGTAGTCAGATAGTTAACTATGTGCTGTAGTTTGCGATATGTTATAGTAGTCGGATAGTTAACTACGTGATGTAGTTTGGGATATGTTATAGTTGTCGGATAGTTAACTACGTGTTGTAGTTTGGGATATGTTATAGTAGTCAGATAGTTAACTATGTGTTGTAGTTTGGGATATGTTATAGTAGTCGGATAGTTAACTACGTGTTGTAGTTTGGGATATGTTATAGTTGTCGGATAGTTAACTACGTGTTGTAGTTTGGGATATGTTATAGTTGTCGGATAGTTAACTACGTGTTGTAGTTTGGGATATGTTATAGTTGTCGGATAGTTAACTACGTGTTGTAGTTTAGGATATGTTATAGTAGTCGCATTGTTAACTATGTGTTTTAGTTTGGGATATGTTATAGTAGTTAGATAGTCAACTACATGTTGTAGTTTGCGATATGTTATAGTAGTCGGATAGTTAACTACGTGTTGTAGTTTGGGATATGTTATGGTAGTCGGATAGTTAACTACGTGTTGTAGTTTGGGATATGTTATAGTTGTCGGATAGTTAACTAAGTGTTGTAGTTTGGGATATGTTATGGTAGTCGGATAGTTAACTACGTGTTGTAGTTTGGGATATGTTATTGTAGTCAGATAGTTAACTACGTGTTGTAGTTTGGGATATGGTATAGTAGTGTTATAGAAATGGAGTATTTACCTACATGGTGTGATCGAGGGATAGTCAGCTGTATGTTATAGTAATGGTGTATTTACCTACATGATGTGATCGAGGGATAGTCAGCTGTATGTTATAGTAATGGAGTATTTACCTACATGATGTGATCGAGGGATAGTCAGCTGTATGTTATAGTAATGGTGTATTTACCTACATGATGTGATCGAGGGATAGTCAGCTGTATGTTATAGTAATGGAGTATTTACCTACATGATGTGATCGAGGGATAGTCAGCTGCATGTTGTAGTAATGGAGTATTTATCTACATGATGTGATCGATGGATAGTCAGCTGTATGTTGTAGTAATGGTGTATTTACCTACATGATGTGATCGAGGGATGGTCAGCTGTATGTTATAGTAAAGTAGTATTTACCTGCATGATGTGGTCAAGGGATAGTCAGCTGTATGTTATAGTAATGTAGTATTTACCTTCATGATGTGATCGAGGGATAGTCAGCTGTATGTTGTAGTAATGGTGTTTAAACCTACATGATGTGATCGGGGGATGGTCAGCTGTATGTTGTAGTAATTGAGTATTTACCTACATGATGTGATCGAGGGATAGTCAGCTGTATGTTGTAGTAATGGTGTATTTACCTACATGATGTGATCGAGGGATGGTCAGCTGTATGTTATAGTAATGTAGTATTTACCTACATGATGTGATCGAGGGATAGTCAGCTGTATGTTGTAGTAATGGTGTATTTACCTACATGATTTGATCAAGGGATAGTCAGCTGTATGTTATAGTAATGGAGTATTTACCTACATGATGTAGTCGAGAGATAATCAGTGTATGTTATAGTAATGTAGTATTTACCTACATGATGTGATCGAGGGATAGTCAGCTGTATGTTATAGTAATGGTGTATTTACCTACATGATGTGATCAAGGGATAGTCAGCTGTCTGTTATAGTAATGTAGTATTTACCTGCATGATGTGATCGAGGGATAGTCAGCTGTATGTTATAGTAATTGAGTATTTACCTACATGATGTGGTGGGCCATTTAACTTTATGTTGCAGAGGGTCCTGTTTTCCGCGGGATTTACTATTGTATTTTAAGGAGGGGTAAACCAATAATTTAATACGTCTAGTTAATTGTTGCTATTTTATTCCAAGATTCAATTTAGAAATAAAACTCTCTTTTTTTTCAAAATTCAAACTTCTGGCGCAAGTGACATCTGGTACAGTATTGAATCATCCTTGTGCTGTCTCATTGGCTAAAAGTCGGAATACACGGAATGTAGTGACGAGACACAAGTCAAGAGCGAGTGAAAGGGGAAACCCAATCGGGTAATAAACATCGTGTCTTCCTTGCTGTTATTTGTCCTATTGAAGCTGAGGGAGCAACTGTTCAGGATATGAGCAGATGGCCATCTTATTCCTCCATCCTCCCTCTACCTTCAACCTACCCGAGTATGTCCCCTCCTACACACATATATTGGAACATACTTCATCACACATTTCCAAGTCAACACTGTATTCTTAATCATCGTTCTCTGTTAATAAAGTTGTCTCTAAG